AGGCTTTAGACATAGCCGATTTCTTATAGTGACTGAGCTGAAGTGGCTTTCGGTTCATTTTTGTGACGCGCAGTTCCCGGAGACAGAGACGACAGAGCCTACTTTTTGTTTTTGTCGTTAGCCTAATATGAATACAAGTTTACAGTTTTGAACGATGTAAGCTACTCTACTCTTATCTGTATGACCAAAAAATTACGGAGTCGCCTATTAAGTTATTTTAGCTGTAATAATGAGAAAAATAAATTAATCTAAATGAACGCGCCGACGCGTTTGTCGAACACTAACTCACCATGCCAGAATAAAACCCGACTTTAGAAAAATGCATAGGGCCACTCGGCGTACGTGGTGTGCCAAAACACTTAATTATAAACTTCAATATTTCATTCAAAATAATCTCAAAACGCTTTGGGAAATTTTAAAAGCCGTGCATGCATTAAGGCCACTGGAACTAATGAACAACTGAAACGCTGGTTTTGATTTTATTGTTTGTCGTTTAAACGTGCTTGTTGCATATCTCTATTTTATATTTGATATGGTCTATTGGTGAAGTAGCCTAGCATTGATTACTGTGGAGGGAGGGGTGTGGGGATTCAAATAATTCAGCAGAAGCAGGGATGTTTAGACCAGAAGGAAATCCCCGTCCCCCCTGGCAAATCACACTTTACTTAAAACCATGTTTTTAAAAACTCTAGGTTGTAGGGAATCAAAAAATAATAATAATAATAGGCCTAATAAAAAAAATAAAAAATAATATATATATATATATATATATATATATATATATATATATATATATATATATATATATATATATATATATATAGGCTAGCTATATATATAAAATTACTTTTTTACAGAACTGCTTTTGAAATTACGATTGGTAGCCTATTATTATACAGATGCAAAGTCGTTCTGTTGGATACTATTGTTCCTTAGTGTAAAATGGAAATGCATGGTAATTTTATTTTATAAATATAAGCAAAAACTGTATGGTGTAACAGAGTTTTAGAGCTAGACAAATCTCTCTGCATCAATAAATATAAAATTTACAGTAGACCATATTTGATCAGGATTTGAACCCGTGTCAACTTGATGATCGAACCGTAAGTTCTACCGCTCGGCTATGCATTTTCTCACTGAGAGTTGCCCAAACGTTTGTTTCTCACATGAGCGAGAAAACGTTTTCTCGTTAGCCAGAGAGTGTAGGCCTACTTTAGCCTACATGAATACAAGTAGACCTTTTACAGTTTTAAAAGACGATATCTTATCTGTATGACCAACAATTACGCAGTAAGTTCTTTTAGCTGTTATGAGAAAAATAAATTCAAATGAACGCGCCGCCGCGTTTGTCAAACTCTAATTCAACATGCCAGAATAAAGCCAGATTTTAGAATAATCAATAATGCATAGCCACTCGGCGTGGTGTGCCAAAATACCCTAATTATAAACTTCAATATTTCATTCAAAACCATCTCAAAACGCTTTTTGACGTTTTAAAAAGCCGTGAATGTATTAAGGCCACTGGAACCAGGATCGTAACTGAAACGCGCTGCATGTCTCAATACAGGAGCGCTGGTTCAGATTGTATTGTTTGTTGTTTAAACGTGCATGTTGCATATTTAAAAATATTTGTTTAAAAATAAATGTTTGTTGTAGGCTTATTTGCAAATTACCATAACTTGTAGAATTTCATCCTTACTGTTAATTGACATTAGCCCCACTTACGTTTTGATAAATGTCCCTTTGCGCCACCTGGCGGTCATTTCGCGAACGACTTTGAAATGCGACTGGTTTATTTTTATTGTATTGGTCTACTTTAAAAAATAAAACTTTATAAGACATTTATGGAAAAAGACTATTTTCTTTTCAAGATGTTTCCAACTGTAACTTTGAACCAATTCTGTAGAATGGCCCATATAGCATTTGACCAGGATTTGTTTCCAGGTATGACAAAAATGTGCTTTTGGCTTTCATTTATATTTTGATTGTATATATATATATATATATATATATATATATATATATATATATATATATATATATATATATATGTATATATGTATGTATGTATGTATGTATGTGTGTGTGTGTGTGTGTGTGTGCGTGTGTGTGTGTGTGTGTGTGTGTGCAATGACAATATATATATATATATATATATATATATATTATATATATATATATATTGTCCTTGCATTCTTTCTTGTGTGACACCCTGAAAGGCTCATTATTATGCAGGGTCACTGTCTGAGAACCACTTAATTATTCATGATAGGGGTTGGGCCGTTCCGCCCATCCGCATATTGCCTTGGCAAACAAAAAAATGTTTTTCACAATTTAAAATAATCTTTTGTTTTATATGAATGATTAGGAAGGATGATTTTCAGATCATTTTGAAGCAAAAACTCTAGGCGACAACGTCCATTAGTCAAAAATCTTGTGGACACATATTTAGTATGTTTTTTGTGTCCTTATTTCAAAAACTTTAGTTTTTAGTTTTTTCAATAACCACGCATAAACAATATTCTCTCAAAAATACAAACATGTACATACATGTTGCTCACAAATTATGGTAGTCCTGCTTGTGCTAAATAGAGTGTAATTTCACCTGTGCCATTAATATGTTTATAAGCAACTGAAAAAAACACAAATGTCAGAGCATGTCAAAACATCTCAAGGAGCCCAAAATACCTTGGACCCCAGAGGGTTAAAATATTATTTGTTAACTATAACAAATACTTGTGTCTGATTTGTCTTAGTCGTTACAGGTCTAAAATATACAGTAAACACTTAGTAGGCATACTATAGTGAATAAGGGTAAAACAAAAACATGTTTTGGAAGAAGGATTGATGATGTATTAAAATTAGGGCTGGGGTAAACGATTATTAATTAAACGATTAGTCTGTCGATTATTTTATCGATTAGTCGACTAATCTAACGACTAATTGAACGATTCTTTTTTGTAACATGGAAATTGCAGGAGTGCACATTCAATGCACAACAATTTTGATCTGGTTCTTACAGAGTATCTACACTGTAAAATGTTTGGTAGGCTACTCAAATGAGCCCTATCACACTTGGATGTGGTGCTCATTTTAATGTTTTCAGTGCTCATAAAAAACATCCGGACTGATTTTTCGGTTTTGTTGACGGGGGTGGGGTTTACATGCGCTTCATAAGGCACACACGCACATTTGCACACACACGCGCAAGGTCTCTCGCTCTCTCCCTCGCTGCGCGCGCTACACGGTTTGGAGCTTGCGAGCTCTAGATTCCGGGAGATTTTAACTAATTTGCGGTCATCAGGGAGCCGCTATCACTATGCGGGAGACTTGGGATGTCAACTCCATTTGACAAAGAGCGCAAATAACGACACCTTTACGTTTGGGACTAAATTTGAAGTATTCCCATACCTTCGATGATTTAGTGCGAGCTGGGTTTTTTTAGGACTTTTTCTTTTGTTGGGACTTGTGCATGGCTTTGTTGTGAATTCTGTGAAGAGGTTGCTGTTTCGTGCTCGATTCTGCAATGTTTCGGTCTCCCACGTGTGTGTGGCGAGCTGTACCGCCGGGAACGGTGCAAAAAAATAAATACATAAATAAATAAAGAAGCGTCGACAAAAAAATATGACGTCGACAAATTTTTGACGTCGAAGCGTCGAAGCGTCGACGTCATCGACGCGCCGCTACAGGCCTAATTAAAATGTTGTTAATTTTGAACCAAAAAACATTACATAGTGTACCTTTAAGATTAAACATGTAATAAATGGTTATTTGCATACAATAAGCAAATTAGCTCAAAGGGGAAATATAAATAATTAATCATAACTTGTTATGATTAATTATAAATATTTGGATCAGTTAATCGAATTAACTTGATGTAGCTAAATTAATATTACAATCAATTAATCAGTTTATCCTGCAAACACTTTTGATTGCTCATTGATTCTTAGAAAATGGTATTTTTTATGGCCACAGAAAAATATTTTTTCTTAGCATGTACAGCACTTAGAGCGTCACAAGATCAAAAATCGTTAAATTGACTTTGTTGTGAGCAGAGAATCAGAACCAAATACGTATTGTGCACACGTTTTATTAACTAAATAACAAACATAACTAATCTAAACACATACACACAATCATCCATACATGGGTAAAATGGTAAGTGACAGAATGAAACGGGAAATGAAACAGGGAATGAAACTATGAAAAAGATTCCTTTAACTATCAAAAGACCTATCAGTTTTCTTCTTTCTAAGCACCTCATTAAGAGGCGTCTACCGTTTATATTAAACTGCTTATTGTTAAACCGACCGTATTTTTAAACAGACAACAGACAATCACATCTGTAGCATATTTCAACCACCAAGGTGGATGCACTCCTCCAGGATTACCCCCGGTTCTTTGATGCATCAATTGGAGAGATCCACTGTGCTTGCCCCACTTGCTGCACGAGAGGCGAATATGCCTACTGAGGGAAGTACACACAGGTCTTTTATGCATTCAGGTGTGTTAGGCAGGTTTCCTACCTGTGATTGGACATGCGCTCCTGTCTGTCAAGCCCGACTTGGTGCAATTAGATGCTTCTGCAGAGATGAAGAATGGATGCCGTTCCCATAGGTGGATCTCTCCACTCGATGTTTCAGAGAAACAGTGTTACAAACAGTAATCTATTGTTATTCCTTGGTTAAACGTTAAATGGAAGCACTAGTTGGCTGCATGAATGTCTTCCTAGACTGAAGGCTGTAGGTTTTACATATGGATTAATCAAACCATGTGTTTAAAACTAGCCACTTTGCATTATTTCACTTAGTGACATTATTTTACTCATTTTAACCTACCCATTACATAAATTTATATTTTTTTATCATACTGATCTAGTAACTTTTCTGTCTTTGTTTCTAAAAGAATGTAACTGTGGTTGGCAGTTCAGCTGGGGAGGATCAGTCAATAAATAGCTTGACGCATTTGTATAAACTTTTAACTAACCAGAATTCTGAACATCAATCACCACTGCAGAATAGCCTGGACCTTCATATAAACGTGTGAAAACTGTGTGGAATGGACAGAATAGAAGGACGAATAGAGGAGAGAGGGTACTGGGGCAGTAAAGCAGAGTTTCTTCTGGCTGTGGCAGGGAATGTGGTTGGACTGGGTAATGTGTGGAGGTTTCCTTATCTCTGCTACAAGTATGGAGGAGGTATGAAACCAGCAGCGATCTAAATACATAATACACTCATGCACTTAGAATTCTTTCAGCTCTATTTAAATAATGTATTATTGTACTGGTGTGTTCTCAGGGGCGTTCCTGATACCCTACCTGGTGTTTGTTGTTACCTGTGGGGTGCCTCTGTTCCTACTAGAGACCGCAATGGGACAGTACACACGGGAAGGGGGTATCACATGTTGGCATCGCCTCTGTCCACTGGCTGAGGGTGAGAGTTGTGGAAACAAAACATCTCTTTATAAAAGATTTAAACATTTTTTAATTAAAATGCGCTAATCTTTTTGCATCCAAACACTTATAATTTCATGCAGTTGTATACACGTCACAGTGGCAAAGGCACCATGGTAACACTTTATTTTACAGTGTCATTGTTACATTAGCTTACTCCAGTAATATCGGTAAATTATGCATAATTACATCCAACTAACCCTAAACCAAGTACTATTCCTAACCCTAACCCTATAGTTAGTATAATTAATATTACTCAGACTTAAATGTATAATCATACATTTTTCATTAAATCAACAGATTTCTATTTTAGTTAAAGCTCCAGTCCGTAACTATTTTGGGTTAAATATTATCCAAAATAAATTTTTGAGCAAGTAAATAACCAGCCAGTGTTCAAAACTATCTGCTTGCCTTAGCTCGATTCAAAACGGTAAGCTTGTAATAATGTTTTTTACTCCAGTGGTACTGGTGGATTACTGCGGGAAATTCAAGCATGTCTTTGGGTCATTACGTCACATCTGTACACATAAAGAATATGTCCCAGCTAGTAGGCTATATTGCGTGTGAGAATGTTGGAGGTGGAGATATATAGACTTTTCTCACAGCACTTGCTATAATTAAACGTATTAATTTGATGGTGGATCCAGAAAGGTTCAAACGGCAATCACCAGTGACAACTAGAGATTCACCCGTTGTAAAATGCAAAAGACTTTGGACTGAGAGTTTGGAAAAAGAGACTGCAACCGGCCCATGCGAAAACAAGGATAATATCCGAAGGGCTTTAAATGTAGTCACGCAATGCTGATGTTGTTAACATGAACAATTTGAGAACAAAGTATAATTTGCTCGGTTTGACGTGATATGATAAGCGATCGTTAGATTTCATCAGCACGATTTACTGCAAAGATTTTTTTCCCTTAGTTGGTCAGAAGAACAAAAGTGGATGTTACTTGTTCAGATCAGATGACATTTTAGTGTGCAAATTCTTATGTTGGTCATACTTCCAAAAAGTAGAATCTGTGATTCTTAATGACAGTATCCACACCGCGCGGTGATTGACAGCTGCACATTCTCCTCAAAACATTGGATTCATCCGCGCTTTGCCGTGTCGAGGTGCAAGTCACGTAAAGTTGTTAATTCCGCGAATAACTGCTATTGCAGATTTTGAACAGAGATGGCGACAAAGAGGAAAAACGACTGCAGCTTTAAGTGAAGAATATGAACATATGATCCAGTAGAAAAAGACTTCAAAAGAAATCATCTGGTTTAATAAATAATCAGTAGAAAGAACCAAAACTCAAAGTGCATATAGTGTAAAAGCAACAGATATTACATTTGGATAAATCTTGGTAAATCATCCTTTAATTCTCTCATTAATTATCTCTTTTTGAGTCTCTTTTAGTCAGTGTTTCTGTTTGCTTTTTTCAGGTATTGGCTACGCAGGACAACTGATTCTTCTGTACAGCTGCATGTATTACATCGTCATTCTGGCCTGGGCGCTTTTCTACCTCTTCTTCTCTTTCAGTGCCCAACTGCCTTGGGCCAGCTGTGACAACACCTGGAACACAGGTGATAATCTAAAAATAATAAAAGTAAACTCAAAACTATAAACAATAAGTGCCATCTGCTGAATATGTTTTTTTTTTTCTGTCTTAGATGGCTGTGTAAATCTTGCTGCAAAGAATTTGACCATCAACCGGACATCTCCAATTAATTCAACACCTGCAGCTACTGAGTTCTGGGAGTAAATGAATACTAATTGTGATATTGAGTTTTGCGTGAACATTCTGCTTTAGCAAAAGTCTTTGTAATTAAGCAAACACATTTTTAACTATTAATTTGTTCAATAAAAACAAAGGAAAATGTTTGCGTCTCTCTTTACAGACACAGAGTGTTGGCTCTCTCTGGGGGTATTGAGGAGATTGGTAAGATCAACTGGGAGATTCTTCTGTGTCTCATTGCAATGTGGATCATATGTTATTTCTGTATCTGGAAAGGAGTCAAATCTACAGGCAAGGTGTGCAAGAATGTTACTTTATTTATCGATTACTTTCCATAAAGTCAATATTAGCCCTGGTTATTGTTAAGAAATTAGCATTTCGTCATATTGCTCACATTGGTTTCCTTTTAAAGGAGTAGTTCACTTTAAAAAAAACTTTTGCTGATAATTTACTCACCCCCATGTCATCCAAGATGTCCATGTCTTTCTTTCTTCAGTCGAAAAGAAATTAAGGTTTTTGATGAAAACATTCCAGGATTTTTCTCCATATACCGTAATTCCTCAAATAAAGGCCGGGGCCTTTATTTACCTGAACTGCAGATGGTAGCCGGCTTTTATTTGAAGCAGGCTTTTATTAGAGGCAGGCTTTTATTTCTAATTCGCGATCCCCGCCCGCCCGCCAGCCAAGTTTCCATGGTGACGCGTCATGCTTGGCACGTGTTCACCACAGCCAAAATAGCGCTATATGACAGATGTAGCTCTTTTATTTCTAAATATTAACAAACTTGCTTACCATGTCATCAACTATCTTCTATTCTGACTCTCAAATCCGTGTAAGTGAGTTTGTTTTGTCGTTTAAAACCCTTTATAAATGATCTTGATCTGTAACGTGAGATGGGCACCGCAGTTCGGAGATTCCTGTTGTATTTGTTAAGTTACAGCGCGTGAATTCTTCAGTTTCTCCCGAAATACATGAAAGTAAGTGGCCGGTGAACTGGGAGAAGAATAGAGTAAACTTTATAGTTACTTACACTGTGTATCTGATATGAATAAAACACGTCGCCAAATATATTTGAATGGATTGTTATTGCTGCTTCCATAGACACCATTGTGTATTTTACAAACTATAAATTTATTGTTTTGCTATAAATCATATCTATTTAAATGTCTGAAACCTAAAATAAACATGTGGTTAAAAACACTTAATAGTTGTGATATATGACAAGCGCTGAGCGCGTCCGTCTTTGAGTGTACATTTATTTAAAGTGTACCTATTCACACTATTTTTTCCCCGGCCTTAATTTGAGACCGGCCTTTATTTGTCCGCGTTGACCACGCCCCCGGCCACTATCAGAGGCCCGGCGTTTATTTGAATACCGGTCTTTATTTGAGGAATTACGGTAATGCACTTTACTGGGCACCAAACGGTCCAAGGTCCAAAAGACAGTTTCAGTGCAAACTGCAAACTGTTCAAAGGGCTTTAAACGATTCCAGACGATGAATAATGGTCTTATCAAGCGAAACGATCGGTCATTTAAAAAATAAATGACAAAGTTTAAGTTTTATAAGCTCAAATGCCCGCCTTGCTCTGTTCTGTGATGCACGTTCGTGACTCTCCTGTTCGAACTCGTTCATCAAAATGAACAAATCTTTTTTCGAGTCATTTGATTCATTTAACGACCGAAATGAACGAATTGACTCGGAAAAAGATTTGTTCATTTTGATGAACGAGTTCGAACAGGAGAGTTACACAGAACAGAGCAAGGCGAGCATGTGAGCTTATAAAACTTAAACTTTTTTTTTTTTTTTTTTTAATGAGCGATCGTTTCACTTGATAAGACCCTTATTCATCGTCTGGTGTCATTTAAAACCATTTGAACAGTTTGCAGTTTGCACTGAAACTGTCATTTGGACCTTGAACCGTTTGGTACCCAGTAAAGTGCATTATATGGAGAAAAATCCTAGAATGTTTTCATCAAAAACCTTAATTTCTTTTCGACTGAAGAAAGAAAGACATGGACATCTTGGATGACATGGGGGTGAGTAAATTATCAGCAAAAGTTTTTTTAAAAGTGAACTAATCCTTTAAGTGTATAGTAGGTGTGCAGGAGGGAACAAACATGTTTCAGCTGTGTGGCAGAAGGACAACAAACTTCATTGGTTATATCAATTGTTTCCTTTTTGGCATCAAATTTACATGTCCCTTTCTTGTATTGTGGCTGTACTGGAGGTGGTGTATTTCACAGCCACATTTCCTTATGTGATGCTACTGGTGTTGCTGATTCGTGGGTTGACTCTTCCTGGAGCTCTGCAGGGGGTTGTGTTTTACCTGTACCCCGAACCGGCCCGTCTCGCTGACCCACAGGTAATTAAACCAACTTCAATTACACTCTATTTAGCACAAACAGGGCTACCATAATATGTGAGCAACATGTATGTACATGTTTTCATTTTTGAGAGAATAATGTTTATGCATGGTTATTGAAAAAACTAAAAATCTAAGTTTCTGAAATAAGGCCACAAAACACACACTAAATATGTGTCCACAAGACTTTTGACTAATGAATGTTGTCGCCTAGAGTTTTTGCTTCAAAATGATCTGAAAATCATCCTGCCTAATCATTCACACAAAACAATACATTGATTTAAATTTCGTAAGACACTTTTTGTTTGGAAAGGCAATATGCGTGGGGGGCGTGATTCACACCTGAGAAGACAATGACCTGCATAATGACCCGTATAATGAGCTGCATAATGAGCCTTTCATTCAGGTCACTGAGCCACAAGAAAGAATGCACATGGTGACGCGTATCCGGTTTGCATGTCGCATGTGGAGTTGTGTGTACGTCGGAGGTTTTTTCTTTTCGATACAAATATATTATAAAGAACAAATCTCAAGACAAAAAAGCATTGCAGGAATGAATGATAATTTGGAGAAGATGCTTGATGAAAAAATTTGAAGTCTACATGTATCCTTGGACAAGAACTTTAATAGTAAATTTGACAGTTTCCGTGACTCGATGATAAAACTTGTAAAAGATAATCAAGATGACATAAAAATAGAAATTTAAAAAAAGGCCAGAGAAGTGCAGAACAGCCTAGACATGGAAATTGGAATTATGGCAGCTCGCATGGAACAGATTGAGCAAAATATCAAGAAAACAGCTGCAACAGATTACATCCCAGAAACCATAATAATGGTTTTTGGCCTGCCCTTCGAGGAAGGTGAACAGGTGATGGAGACAGTGTCCATTGGTGATGCAGACAATGATATACAGTGGGTTTCTCGGACCCACCATGCTCAAGATTCCATTTCTTTAGTACACTGGAACGTTAACGGATGGACTACAGGTAACTATAAATTAAGAACGGTTATTCTGAATATTTTAAATCCGTATATAATTTCGCTGAATGAGACGCATTTATTTGACGATAAAGGAATTGATTTGGAAGGTTATTCATGGTTTGGTTATAATCAAAGAAAACATGTTAAAGCAACACTATGGAACTTTTCAACCTTCATAATATATTTCCAAGACCCTTGTAATGGTACATCGACTTACAATAGGTTAAATGACACGTCTGCCATAGCCTGACGTGGTCTGTATCGCTTTTACTCGCACTATGTAACTTCGGGTTTCGGGTAGTAACTCAAGCACAAAAAGAACTACAAAACTCGACTGCTTTACGGCATACGTCACTTCCCCCACCACTTCCTCAAATTGTCTATGGCCATTGCAGACATCCCAAGTCTATAGCGTCTCCCTGATGCCCGCAAATTAGTTCAAATCTGCCAGAATCAAGAGCGTGAATGCAAGACAGAACATACTGCGCGCATAACATACATAGCGCGAGCACGGCAGAGAGGGAGAGAGCGAGAGACCTTGCGAGTGTGCCTCACGAAAGCTAGTCAACCCGCCACCCCCCCGTCAACAATCCAGTCACCAAGATATACCTCCCTGAAATGACTTCTTGCAGGTTGGGATGTCTGCCATTGTTGATTCCAAAGCCGGTGCTGGATAAACAGCGAGCGTGCGCGTGCGACAGTAGGCTGCGCTAGGCTAAATTATTTACAACAGCGGTAATGGACAATTCCGCTTCCAACCTGTAGGGCGACCGCTGAGGAAAAGTTACTTGGTGTTGCTGGAAAAGTTACACTTTAAAGCATGCACCCCGGCTCTGGCGGGGTTGGGTTTTGTGTTAAAAATAACCTGGTGAAATTATACAAAATTGATGTTGTAGACAAACAGGTGGATGGTATTCCATGTTTAAAATTTTTGCATTTGAAATCAGGTTATAGTTTTGTTGTTTTTACCTGTTACCTGCCACCCGAAACGTCAGTATGGGGAAAGGACGCCTCTTTTTTCTTTAATCATGTTTTGAGTCAGATCTATTTATGTTCAGAAGTTGAAGCAATTTTTGTTTGTGGAGATTTCAATAGTAGGATAGGTGCTTTTGATGACTACCTAAAAGAAGTTGATGCGATGCTCACTAGAGCCTTCTTAGATGGTTCCGTAAACAAACATGGAGAATCAATGATTGAATTCTTAAAAGAATCTAAGTTATGTATTGTTAATGGGAGGATATGTCCTCTAAGTGATAACTATACATCAGTATCTGTCAAGGGTAAAGCGGTGGTTGATTATATACTTGTTCCATATGACTGCTTACAAATATGTGACTCATTTGAAGTGTTAGCTCTAAATCAAGTAATGATTTGTAGACCATCAATGCCCTGATGATGGTCTTTTGACCGAAAGCTTGGTCTATTAAATTCGCTTTAAGGATTTGAGTGTGCGGACAGTTCATTTATTGAGATCTTTAGTCTTGTGTGTCTGGCACCTTGAAGATCGTGAGTGCGGTGTAACTCCTTCCAAATCAATTAATTAAAATGGCAAATTGTATGGATTTAATTGGAGAAAGAAGCAGAGTCCCAGATCATTCTTTACTGTGGTTACATTTTTTTAATAAAGACTGAGGCTCATTGTCATGTAGCTTATCAGGAGAGTTTACAAATCCCATCCATAAAAAGGAAAGTCAGCAGGATTTTACCGGCAAATTTTTTATACTCTAGTGTACAACAATCAACCCTTTTGAAAATGAAGGATGATATACAGTTATGTTCTAGAGAGCAAGAAAATTTTGATAACTGGTATGTTAGCCTTTGTAAATTGATTAAAGAAGATATAGAGTTTGAGATCAAAGCTGGAGACAACTATAACTTTACAAGAAAGCCATTAATTACGAAACCTTATTGGAACAAAGAATTAAAAGAATTGTGGCAATCTATGCGTAAACCAGAAAATATGTTTCTGAACTGCTCAAATAATTATATAGAAAATAATAAATCATTAGAAACCTTCAAGAATAATCAGAATAGGTTTGATAAAAGATACAAATTCTACAAAAGACGTTATCAAAGAGGACAGGTATTAAACTTGAAGAGAATCCAAACGTCTGACCCCAAGATATTTTGGGCAGAAATGAATAAATTAGGGCCAAGGCGTAGTTGGAAAATACCCATGGAAGTGCTGGGGTTCGATGATAATGTAATGACTGAGCTGTCTGATATAATCAATAGGTGGGAAAAAGATTTCAAAAGTCTCTTCTCTAGTGAGACTTTTGATTTTGATGGGGGTACTACGAGGACGTCAGAGGAAGAATGTAATAGAGGGCCACATTTTAAAAGGGGAATATTGGATAAATGAGGATCTTAATAAGAGTATTACAAAAGAAGTTCAAATGGACATTAATAAAGCTAAGTTGTGAAAAGCGAAGGGGGTTGAAAATATCCCAAATGAAATACTAAAATCGCCCAAACTATTCGATATTTTGTTTGATTTATTTAAATGGTGTTATGAATCCGGCAAAATACCATCTATGTGGCTTAAATCTATCATTAATCCGATACCAAAATCCAAAAATGAGGATCCGAGGGTGCCTTTGAATTATAGAGGGATTAGTTTAATGAGCACAGTTTATAAATTGTATTCTACAATACTTAATGAGAGGCTCATGTTGTACCTAGAGAAAGAAGAGCTTCTTGTTGAAGAACAAAATGGGTTTCGTAAGTCAAGATCATGTCTTGATCACATTTTTGTATTGTCTACAATTATAACTAAAAGAATAAGTGAAAATAAGCCTGCATATTTGTGCTTTATTGACTTTCAGAAAGCTTTTGATATGATCAATAGGGATCTGTTAGCATATAAACTTATTGAGTACGGGGTAAATGGAAAGTTTTATTGGGCTCTGAAGGCTGTTAATCACAAGCCCATAACATGTGTAAGATTAAATGAAGTTCACACAAACTGGTTCCCAACATCATCAGGGGTAAAACAGGGTGATGTTTTGTTCCCCACTTTATTTGCAATCTATATAAATGATTTGGCAAAGGAAATTAAATCATTGAATTGTGGAATTGTGTATTCTACTGTATGCAGATGACAGTTTTACTGTCACCCTCTGAAGATAATATGCAGCGGATGCTCTCCTATATTGATGATTGGGGTAATAAGTGGAGATTGTTTATTAATAGAAAGAAATCAGAAATAATTCATTTTAGAAAACATGAATCGCAGCATCTATGAGTTTAAAATTGGGTCACACAAGCTGAACTTTGCAGACTCATATAAATATCTAGGTTTCTATATTGATGAACATATGAATTTCAGAAAAGGTGTTATGGTTCTTGCTGATTCAGCACATAGAGCTTTGGGAGGAATTATTGATAAAAGCAAGAACCTGAAAGATATATCTAAACTTATATCTTATTCTAAACTGTTTCAAGCTTGTGTGTGCCTTACTTGATTATATTGTGGGGGTTAGAGGACTTAGAAACATATCTTATTGTGAATTAGTGCAAAATAGTGCCATAAGATATTTTCTGGGTATACACAAATATGCTCCAACATTGGCGATAGTGGGAGACATGGGATGGGAATCATGTGAGGCCCATTGGAAGATGGCCCGGTTATGGAATCGTTTATTAGATATGGACGCAAAGTAGGTTGACGAGGAAAATATTTCTCTGGAATAAACACAATCTTGGTCCTTGGTTTAAAGATATATGCAAACTGTTTTGTAAATATGGGTTTGGGGAGTTGTTTTCTAATTATGAAAAGCTGAATATTGGTTTGTTTAAAGAATCTGTGGTCGTTAAAGATAAAGAGCAGTGGGCTAACCATACAGTATATGGGCTAAGCTAAAATTGCATATTTTTGTGATGGTAAAACCAGAATATGGCACAGAGAATTATGTTGTGTTGTGGCTTTTCCTGTCCAACAAACATCATCACTGAGTAAGAAACACTCTGAGTCCAATTTAATAGTTTATAAAGTATTTATTCTCTTGCAAGAGAGATCC